ATATATATATATATATATATATATATATATATATATATGTTGGTGGGTTGTAATTATTTTTAAAAATAAAATCATAGATTTTACCTGAAGTTTATAATTGAAAAATATCTGAGTTTCCCTCTAGTTGTAGACTCTGCCTTTTACATCACAACTTCCTAAACGCAATAACTAGTCATAGAGATAACTAACGCTTATTGAGAAATTACCATTGACCTGGCACCATTCTGAAACTTTTACGTATATTAACTAATACAGTCCTCACAACCACCCTGTGAAGGATGTCTATGATCTCCATTTTGCAGAGGAGGAAACTGACACCCTGTAACGTTAAATAATTTGCCCAAGTCCCAAAGCTCAAACAGCAGAGCCGGGACTTGACTCCAGGTGCCAAGCTCCCATCCACTGCTGAAATTCCACACCACAACCACCTTCCTGGCTCTTCCCAGCTCCTGGCATATAGCAAGTGCTCAACAAATATTAATTCAATTAATACCATTATAGTTTTAACACTGTAGTTTGATTGTTGACCTGCTTATCATTACAACTGATGGTATGCTCCGTTTTTAGAAAAGGGCAGGTGCCAAAAGAGGCTTACTGTTATCTTAAACAGGGTGCCATTTGGGAGGAATACAAAGATTAGCAAACGGACACGTGACGGAATGAATAAACAGGCACGTTGGCTTCAGCTCGTAGATTTTGTTCCCAGAAGGGCAGACCTCACTCACAAAAACTGCCCCTGTGGTTTAGATTCTGAGTGGGAATCCCATTGACTGCTACATCTTCAACTTTCCTGACCTTTAGTTTGATCATCCATAGCACAGGGCTCTTAGGGTTATGGTGAGGTCAAAATAATGCTACTCGTGAAAGAATCTAGTGAAATGCACAGAGCTGAGCAGGTGTCAGAGACAATTACCTTCACTCTAAACTTGTTCCACGTGGTGTGAGGCCAAGGGTGTGATCCACTCATGTGTGCGATTTGCCACCCCGTCTGTGGGCAGCAGGGGCGTGGGGTGCAAATCCAGGATGGTGCCCAAGGAGCCCTAAGGGGAGAAGAGGAATCTGGTCTGGAAAGCAATCAGTTGATTCTCTGCTGGCCACCAGGGCAGTGACAGTTCATCCTCACACCCTGGTCTGTGGCCTGAATATAATGTCCACAGGTTGCCATGCTAGGTAAAGATTGTGTTAGGTCCTGTGCGCCTGGCAGTGCAGTGGACAGGGCTGGGCCAAGGAAAGGCTCTGAGGGAGAGTGATGGAGAGAAGGCTGGACAGAGGCTTTTATGTCCTTTGGACTTTGGGGATGAGCGTTAACTCAGCAAGCTTCAGCTTATCTCTGGATTAGAAATAATGGGGGAAAAAAATCCATCTTAAGCCACAAACACTCAGTGGAGAAAGGATAGTCTCTTCAACAAACAGTGTTGGGAAAACTGGATAACCACATGCAGAAAGGTGAAATTGGACCCCTATCTTATACCACTCACAAAGATTAACTCGAAATGGATTAGAGACTTAAACATAAGAACTGACACCATAAAACTCCTAGAAGAAAACATAGAGGGGATATTGGTCCTCCCTTTGTCATTGGTCTTGGCAATGATTTTTTTGGATATGACACCGAAAGCATAAACAGCAAAAGCAGAAATCAACAAATGGGACTACATCAAACTAAGAAGATTCTGCACAGCAAAAGAAACAATCAACAACATGAAAAGGCAATCTATGGAACAGGAGAAAATATTTGTAAACACTATATCAGATAAGGGGTTAATAGCCAAAATATATAAAGAACTTATAAATTCAATATAAAAGACCCACAATCTGATTAAAAACTGGTCAGAGGAACTGGAAAGACATTTTTCCAAAGAAGACATCCAAATGGCCAACAGCATGAGAAGGTGCTCAACATCACGAACCGTCAGGGGAATGCAAATCAAAGCCACAGTGAGCTATTTCACACCTGTTAGAATGGCCGTCATCAAGAAGATAAGAGACAGCAAGTGCCAGTGAAGATGTGGAGAAAACTGTCCATGACAGTTTGTTTATGGACCTTTGAGTAGTACCTTTTCATCTCGCAAGAAGGAGACAAGGTGTGGAAGAGACACACCCATTGTCCACACCACTTCCACTCACATCTGTTGAAGCCTTAGTGGCCTGACCACATCCAACTGCAAAGTTGTCTGGGAAATGCCTTTAACTTACACAGTGTTATATGTTTATTATATCTCAATTTAAAAAATCCATCTTAATACAATTCAACTTCATAAATGTGTTTATTGAACACCTACTACACACCTGGCATGGTATTAAGTACTACAGGGATGACAAGGATGGACAAGACCCCAACCATGTCCTCACGGAACAGGTGTGCCCCCAATTAACTGAGGCACAGAGGGACCTGCCTTCCAAAGAAGCACAGCCCACTGTAGGCTGTCCTCCAGGTCCCCATGGGCTCACCCTTGATCTTGATTCATCTTGATCTTGACTTAAACCTCATCCTCTTCTTGGCTTCCACAAGAAAATGAAGCACACTAAGGATGCCTCAGCTAAGCATCAATAAGCAGGTCTGATGCTTCACTGAGGGTTTGTGAAGTCGTGATAGAGGGATGACGTCCTTCAGCACTTAGGATTTCCACCCAAATATTTTCACTGGACAGGTTCCTGCCTAACCTCTCCTCCAAGCCCCAGTCATGAGGCGCAGCCCCGCTCAGGCTTCCCCACACAGTGCCCTGCCCACCCCTTCCTTTTCCCCTTGGAGAGATGTCTTTCCTTCCATACAAACCTTGGCCTCCAAGCAGCCTTTTTCTCCTCCTGCAGCAACTCATCAACACCAAGTGTCTTCTTTACCCAGAAGGAGTTCTCAGAACACCCCTTTGAAAGCACACACATATATAGGATTTATTCATTATCACTGTAAAAGATCGAAGTAAAATACTCATATGGTAGATATTCATCACTTTAACCAATTTAAAGTATACAATTCAGTGAGCCTTATATTATCTTATTTTTTCCCAGTGGCTTTTAGTACATTCATGATGTCGTGCAACCATCATCACTAATTCCGGAACCTTTGCATCACCCCAAAGGAAACCCCATACCCACTCTTCAGCCGTTCCCCATTTCCGCTTCCCCATTTCCTCCGCCACGACTTGTTTTTCTTACTTAAGGAGACATCAGGAACCTCCTGCTGGTTGAAGGGCTCATTCTTTTCTAGGCTGGTGATAAGAATTTGTAGCTTGTCTCTACCGCAATTAACCCGCCCTTTCCCTGTGGATGGGTGTTAAGCGGTTTCCCAGCCTGCGCCTCTTTGAGCTGTATCATGGTGAGAACCCTCACTTCCATGTTTTCACGTCTTGCAGCAGCTCGTTTTTATTTATTTATTTATTTATTTTTGGCTGCGTTGGGTCTTCATTGCTGCACGCGGGCTTTCTCTCGTTGTGGCGAGCGGGGGCTACTCTTCGTTGCGGTGCACAGGCTTCACAGTGCAGTGGCTTCTCGTTGCAGAGCACGGGCTCTAGGCACGCAGACTTCAGTAGTTGTGGCACGCAGGCTCAGTAGTTGTGGCGCACGGGCTTAGTTGCTCCGCCGCATGTGGGATCTTCCCAGACCAGGGCTCCAACCCGTGTCCCCTGCACTGGCAGGCGGATTCTTAACCACTGCGCCACCAGGGAAGTCCTGTAGCTCGTTTTTAAAGGTTGAGTCCCAAAGAGAAGCTGCTTTGTCAAAGGGTGTATGTACTCTTCAATTTAGTAGATATCAGCATAGTACTTTCCCAGAAGGTTTGTACAATTGTTTTTTGGTGTCAGATGACATTTTATTCTCTGTTAGAAATGATGCCCAACACCGTTCATATAGTTTCATCCATCTTTTAGACCTTTGTGTGAAACCTCTTTTTCCCCACGCATTTGGGCAGATCTGGTCTTGGGATCAGAGTAGATGAGGAGAGTTTGCCCCCAGGGTCAGCCCGGTCACTGGGCTCTGGGGTTTTCTGTGCTCTCTCCTGAGGCAGATGTGGTTAACATTGACCATCTATGGAACTCATTTTCAGCAGGTTTAACAGTAGAGGTCCTCCTGTTTTTTAGTAGCAGTTAAATGCAGGCTGGCCGAGGTGTGTGTGTGTGTGTGTGTGTGTGTGTGTGTGTGTCTGTGTGTCTAATACACCTTTTATTTTATTTTATTTTGTTTTATTTTTTTTTGCGGTACGCGGGCCTCTTACTGTCGTGGCCTCTCCTGTTGCGGAGCGCAGGCTCAGCGGCCATGGCTCACGGGCCCAGCCACTCCGCGGCATGTGGGATCTTCCCGGACCGGGGCACGAACCCGTGTCCCCTGCATCCGCAGGCGGACTCTCAACCACTGCGCCACCAGGGAAGCCCCACACCTTTTATTTTAGAGCAGTTTCAGATTTACAGAAAAATTGCAAAGATAGTACAGAGGGTTCCCATGTACCTCATACCAAGTTCCCCTGTCTGATAACCTCTGACACAGGTGTGGGACATTTGTTACAATCCGTGAACCGTGGTGAGAAGGCTTTGTGGAGAACGCAGTATTGAGCTGGGCCTTGGCAGACAGGGTGAGGACTGAGCATCCCAGCCGAAGAGACCGTGTGAGGAGAGCGTGGAGATGGGTGAGCTCAGGGTATGGGGAAGAGTCCAGCAGGGGGTGTGCGGGGTGACGGGGAAGACTTTTCAGGAAGTAAGTGGATTGTTCAGGGCACACAGAAGTGGCTGTTTTAGAAAGGGTTCTTACCCACGTTCCCAACTTCTTCCTCATCTCATTCCAATGTGGCGAATGAGATGCCCTTTGCTGGACCCGCCCTGAGTATGTGTTTTGTTGGAGAGGCTTCCTCCACAGATGTACTCTGGTCTCACCTGTCTCAGTGATCAAGAACCCAATCTATTTCTCTATTATTGCAGGGGCCTGTGGGCTTTATGTGGTTAATAAGGGACACAACTTTTAAACCGTCTTAGAGATTACTTTAAAGTCAAAAAAATGCACCATTCTACCAGCATTATATTACAGTTGCTAAAAATATCCCATGCCCATTGGTTAGCTCAGAGCAATAGATATCCCACAGGCTAATTTCATCATTGGCAGAAGGCCATGCAGTCTCCAGACAGGATCAGAATCAAACTGGGGGCTGCTAAATATAGAAATATAAATTTGGGTTTGTTTAGAATCACTTGAAAACCGAAAGAACACATAAGCCAGCGCGCAAGCCTGGTAGCGTCTTTCAAAGCATAGCTCACCTTGTACATCGGTCTGTCCTGCACCCCCAACCCTGCTTTCAGCTTCTCAGTGGAAATATTAGGCAGTTCTCTATGTTTGAAAGTCACAGTAGACTTTTGAAGTAGTCTGGGCTGGAAGTAGACTTCTCGATATCGTCATCCACTCCCAGGGGTTACGCTAAGGCCTCGGCGGCAGCAGACGGATTTCAGAGATGACTTCAGCGATCCTTGGAGGCCCCAGGCTCTTTGACCTCGTGTCTTTGCCACTTTCCCATCCAGATGGAGAATGAGTGTCTACAGCTTCTCCTTGAAGTTTCATCCAGGGCCAGGGGTCCCAGTGGGCAAAGGACTGGGAAAAGGGGACAAAGAAAAGTGCTTCTTTGTAAGCATCATGCCCTACACGTCCCTCTTGTTCAATGTTTATGGCAAGAAGGTACCTCAAAGCACAAATATACTTGCCCCGAGGAGCTCTGGGTAGGCAGGGATTTTAGTAAATGATGACCAGGTGGAGGAAGGAGATTGAGGGTAGGGGGTCACTCGTGGTCCTGTTTGGGACACCGCCCCCCAAATCCCCGAGGGAATCAGCACGGTCGAGTTCCTCTGGAGAGCACGCCAGGACAACTGACCAGTTTAACTGGTCCAAAGTGTCTCTCGCGTGGCTTTCAGGCCACAGATCTGTCCTCTGGCTGCCTCCGTCACCTTGGTTAGGACAGCTCTCCTTGCCACGTGCTCTGGCACACCAGGCCCTTTATCCTTCAAATATGCCAATCCTTCCGTGTCTGGGCCTCTGCCTTCCCACCGGCCTGCAGAGTTCTTCCCTCAGGAGTCAATACTTTTATGACCTTCCTCTCTCTTCATTTAGGGGTCAGTTCAAATGTCACCTACTCAGAGAAGACTTACTGAAGCTTTATCTAAAGCTACTCTTTTAAATTCGATCCTCTCTCCCTGCTTTATCTTCTTTAACTCATTGGTACCTATTATAGATCATATCACATCACGTCACACTCTACATATCTTTTTTTGTTTTTTGTTGTTTTGTTTTTTTTCATATACATATCTTTATTATCTGTCACCCCTACCGAAACGCACACTGCCTAAAGGGGCGTAAAAATATTTGTCGATTGACATACTACACAAAGTAAGTGATAAAGAGAAAGACAAATACCACATGGTATCACTTATATGTGGAATCTAAAATATGACCCAAGTGAACTTATCTATGAAACAGAAACAGACTCACAGACATAGAGAACAAACTTGTGGTTGCTAAGGGTGAGGGGGGTGAGGGAGGGATGGAGTGGGAGGTTGGGATGAGCAGATGCAAACTATTATACATAGAATGGATGAACAACGAGGTCCTACTGTAGAGCACAGGGAACTAGATTCACTATCCTGTAATAACCCATCATGGAAAAGAACACGAAAAAGAATGTATATATGTATGTGTAACCGAGTCACTTCGCTGTACACCTGAAACTAACACAACGTTGTAAACCAACTATACTTCAATTACAAAAAAAACTAAAAAAAAACCAGAACAGTGAATTTAGAAAGAGCATCACCAGGAAATCAGAAATCTATAGAAAATAATTATAAGGCTCTGAAAGCAAACATAGTTTCTAAAATTAAAAAAAATTGTTGGTTGAATAAATGATTTACAGTTCTGTTCATTCCTTACACCTGGATAAAACTTGACTGCCCATGGACGTACCTCCGCGTGCAAATTCCATCAGCAATCACACATGCATCTTTTTCAATGCATCTTTTATCCCTCCCATCGCATGGTAACCAGACTTGTAAATGGGTAATTGCAGACTGAGAGACAAGCCCTGAAGGAGGGCAGGATCGACCTAGAGCAGAAGGCCCCTGGGTAGTGAAGAACCAGAGAGAGGACGTTCCGAGGAGCCAGCGTCTACCTTGTGGCCTCTCAGGGTTAAGACACACACGTTCCCGTTTCTGGATTTGGGATGAGTCTGAGCATTGATAACATCTCACCCTGCCTTTTGACCAGGTGGCAGTTGTGATGTACTGTCATTGCCTGCACACAGGAGAAATCCTCTGGTGTTTATATTCCTTTGAGAAAGGAATATGTCTCAATTGTCACCTGAAAACTTGCACTGCCATCTCTCGTTAGACCAAGGAAGTGTCCACATCAAAAATTGCAGGATGAATGCAATTTCTTCCATGACTGGAAGAAAACCTTGCTGACAACGGAGGACCCACGATAAGAAACCCAGCGTCAGCAGCACTCTGGTGGGCGCAAGGGATGAAAAACCAAGAAAGAGCACAGACACGGATGACTCAGAAGTGCTGGCCTCTCAGCTTGGAGAGATTGTAGAGATACCGTAATCAATCAGTCGAGCATGTATCTTCATTTTTATGTAGGCACAAGAGCCATAAACAACCCAGTCCTACATCTAATTAAGCCTAAAAGAATGTCTTAGGATAAGTATAACATAACCATTCTGAATGTTAAGAAAGCATAGTGTCAAAATTTCATGGGCAGGAATTTTGTATTTCTTAAAGTTACAGAAAACAGTGGAGCGTTTCAGAAGTGGTGAGACCTCGGATTTGATGCAATACAGTAAAGTGAGTTTGAAGGTCTGGGAGAAAAGCAGCACCCAGCGACAGGGACAAGTGTTGGGGGGCGCCGCGTTCATGGGGGCGGGGGTCCCTGCAGGAGCAGATGTCACTCTGCAAGGGACAGCTCCTCCGAGATGGGCTCTTTTCTGCAACGTCACTGCACTGCCATCTTAACATCCCTCGGTGCTGTTTAAGTGTAAGAATTACTTTGCTACCGACATTGAGAGAAAACACATGGCAGATAGACACAATACTTGCTCTCCAGATTACCCCGAATAAATAAATAGAAGAATGTTCTAGGCACCTGAGGGATATGTAGGGAAGCGAAAAAGGCAAGTGCGAAGTAACAGCTGTGGCCGGGGCGGAGAGGGAGCTGTTTAGTTCTCTCTCCAGGTCATTGAGTATCTGCAGGCAGTAAATGAAATCGTCCCAATTTGTTTTCTCATGAAAATGTCAGCTTGAGCGCTTAAAGGAATTCTTTTCTTATGGGCCAAAAAAAGAACCCTTTTTTTTATTGTGTGGCCCTCGAGACAGAAGAGGCTTTTTGATCTTGTTTCATGTTTCCACATTGCTGGTATCCTTCAGTTCAGACTGGCTTACCCAGGGGGCTGACACGTTTGTTTGGTTTAAGCCAGAGCTCCCACCAGGGCCTGGGGGGAGCGGGCTTCTTGGCTTCCCCTCCGCCTGCTGCCCAGGTGAGACCCATGGCCGCAAATGGCCCTTTCTTGGCAAGACATTTTAATGGGATGGTGCATAAAAGGGATATGGCTACATAATTCTTGTTAATAAATGTCTTATTTAGTTACCTCATGTTAATTATTCACCAAGCAGAGACAGCTGTAACGTGTAGCTCTGGTGTGAACGCTCCTTGGGCTTTTTCTTTCCCCCTTTCGCCTTCCTCCCCTCCCCTTCCTCTGGACAGTTCTTTTCCAAAGAAGAGAGCAGAGACCAATATCTAGTCGTCCAGCTCCCGAGACAATTAGCAGCTATTACAGCTGGAAAGGATGTCAGAAATCACAGAAACGGGTGATTTCCAAACTGCTCTGAGGAGTCTGAAGGGTCTTCGTGCCCAGTCTCTGGGAGGCGATGGGAAGGCCCGGTGGGCAGGGCCTTCGCCCCTGCCTCCCTGCTTCAGCTCCCGTGGTTTGATTTTCGTTCCCCTTGCAACGTATGCGATTCCTGGCACAGGTTATGTAAGGAGAAAAAGATTGGAGTCTTCGGAAGGTCTGAAAACCGCTGATGCAAATCAGGCCTCTCATTTACAGGCAAGGACACTGACGTCCAGAGAGGTAGAGTGATTTGCCTAGGGTTGCACAGCTTCTTGGTAAGCAAGTCAGGACTGGGAGGCCTGCCCTCTCCCTGTTGCATGGCTTGGGGTGGAGAGAGGAACCCTGAGAAAAGAGAGAAACCGGGAAGGAGGAACCCTGAGAAAAGAGAGAAACTGGGAAGGAGGAAAGCGGTCATGTGTTTCTGTCTCTCCGTGACGCAGAGCAAGATGGTTTCTTGAAACACCTCTCAGGCCACAGAAGATGGTATCTCCTTGTGGTCACTGAGAACGATGGTGCAAATGTGACCTGGCTCTGTGCACTCTCTGATCATCAGACAAAAATAGGCAGTGCCTGCTCTCGAGGCTTCAGGGTTTGTGAAGCTGCAGCTGTTTCCCAGTTTCACTGAAAATGAAGTTTTCTCTATTTTTTGGTTTATTATTATTTTGAGGGGGTGAGTTTCTAGGAGAGATTTATGAAAATGTACCCCAACTTTACCATATTTCCCAGTAGTGTGAATTTAGTCTTTGGGATGGAGTCATATTTAGGTC